TGTCCTAGGTGTCCAAGCCTGGATTTAGCCATCCATTTTTAAATAATTTTGACCTAAATCTAGTGGGTTTCCCTCTGATCCAGTGCACACAATCAGCACACAGAACAGCAATCAGTGCTGAGACCCCCTGCAGAGAGATGCTGCAGAAGTACCTGAGACAGATCAATATCCTGTGCTTAGGTCAAGTCCTTGGACTGGAACAGTGGGAATGTGGCAAGATGGGCAAAGATTCATAGAGAGGACTGGGGGGTGGAAACCTGCACAGTTCCTATTTGCTCTAGACAGTGCCTGTATTCCATCATTTTTGTGAGTACTACATTCACTCAGAACGTTTAAAACAAAACGATGGGGTTTTTTGGCTTTCCTGGCACATAAAATGTCCTTGCCAACCTGGGCTTTTGAAAACAAAGCACCCAGTGTGTAGAGACTGGGTGACTCTGGGGACTGGCAATAGCTTGCAGCAACCTTTAGGTCATCAGTCCAAAAATGACCCGGGGCAATAATTATGGAAAGACCTTCCCATCTGGTGACTGTGTGGCCTGGATGTAATGAGTCTTAATCACTTCCCCAGAGGACTAATTGGTCTCCTTGTTGGAAGTGTCAGCAGAGAGGCCAAGGAGGGAATGGGCCATGAAGGCCAATCTCCCATCTCACCGCAGAGACGGGGCACTTCCAGAGCAGGGTTGATGCACGCTGGCAAGGACACTGCGGGGGAAGCTTGCACAGCCATTGTCTGTCCTGTGGATAAACAGAAGTCTGCAACCCCCAAGTCTGCCCAACTCAATTTTGCTTAAAATATAAATGATCTTTGTGAAACACCCCAGTTAGAGGAATGCAGAAATATATCTGAAAATCTCAAGTTCCTTCTTTCTCCGGCCACATAGTTCAAAAATAAGCAAAAGGAATTTTTCACATTCAGTACATTAAAATACACATAGCTATGTGGCTCAGACCTGTCATGTCAAGCACTAGCCAGGAGCAGATGTTCATGGCAGAGTTAGAAACCCCTTTAAACTAAGGACTTATAATTGCTGCACTGATAGACAATTATAGTGATGCTACCAGGCGCCGCTATAATTAGAAAACACTAGAGGTCAGTTGTTGTTTTTTGCAAGTGCATTTCGACACAGTGGCAAACAAGAGCTGGATGTCAACAGCAATGTAGCAGAGGAGAGAGGGATAACACAACATACGGATGTCACCACGTGATCTGAACAGAGTCAAGTGACCAAACCCCTGAGCAGAGGATGTAGCGCAGAGACAGGCAGCTGGATTCTTATGCAGCCTGAGGGCTGTCAGCAGCAGCCAGGAGGCCACTACCCCAAGAAGCTGTGAATTAGTAAACTTGAGGGACCTGTGGCAATAGGTTCAGCAGAGGCTAAGCACCAGTCTGGTGTCAACTCCTGAGCACACACAGCTCCCATGGCCTACAGCAGGAACTGTGGGTGCTCAGCATCTCTGAAAACCAGGACATTACTATATAAACATCAGTGCAATTGGAGATCAGCCCTCTGATTTCTGAGTCCCCTAGCCCCCTGTAACCAGCACACTGGAGTAAGGGAGCCCTACACTTACAACATTTCCCCTAGCATCAGTCTGAACCAGAAGAGCCCTACCTTCTGAATTACCAGAGCCACTTTCCATAACTTGAAGGTGTCCCCTCTAAGTACCAACAAAGGATGGGGGAGAGGGATAGCTCAGTGGTTTGAGCATTGGCCTGCTAAATACAGGGTTGTGAGTTCAATCCTTGAGGGGGCCACTTAGGGATCTGGGGCAAAAATCTGTCTGGGGATTGGTCCTGCTTTGAGCAGGGGGGTTGGACTAGATGATCTTCTGAGGTCCCTTCTAACCCTGATATTCTATGATTCTAATGCTGCTCCAGCACAACATACTGTGGTAAGCATACAGAGGGCAGATTGTATCTACCTGTGGTAGCTTCAAGAGGTTTGCCCTGACCTTCTGCTTTGTGTGGAATGACACCCTCTAGGAGGTCTGAGATAGGTCTTTGCTTTTTTCCCATGTCAGGCCTTCATATACCCATGGTTCAGTCCCTTTGCTCTGAAGCTGCCTATCCCATAGAGTTAATACAGGAAGATGTAATCTACATCAGAAGGAGGAAAAACTGCACAAACTCAGCAAGTTTCTCTTTCTAATTGGCACCATATATTATACCAATAACTTCACCAGCGCATGATCTTTTCCCCTCTGCCGGCTGATGTCTTGAGGATTTGATCCCTGCAGATGCCAGCTGGCAGGATGAAAAAGAAAATCATGCCCTGACAAAGTCATTGTGGTAATGTACAGTGCCTGCACTAATAAGAGAAGAAACTTGTTGTATTCCTTCAGTCTGCCTGCTTTTGATATGAGATAACATCTTCCCACAAGGGAGCAAAGTAACAGAAAGGACTTATTAAAGTCATTCTGGTTCACCCAGACTGACTTCTCAGACACACCCTGTCATTCATTCAGAGCGGACCTCACAGGCCATAGGACTCAAGCCTGGATATTTCATTGGGGGAAGGGATAGCTCAGTGGCTTGAGCGCTGGCCTCCTAAACTCAGGGTTGTGAGTTCAATCCTTCAGGGGGCCATTTATGGATGTGGGGCAAAATCAGTACTTGGTCCTGCTAGTGAAGGCTGGGGACTGGACTCAATGACCTTTTCAAGGTCCCTTCCAGCTCTATGAGATAGGTATATCTCCATATATAATGGCAACATTTCAACCCCATTGTTATCCATCTAATTAAGTCTGAATGTCTCTAATTCCAAACTGGCCAGGCACAATGGAGGAAGGCAATCCACAATGTCCTGTATAGGATGTGATGACACCACTTGGTGGCATACAATGTCTAGCACTGCCATATTGTTGGGGGTTATCCCATTAGAAGTTGGACCCAGAAATGCTCCCTGATTCACATCTGAATAAATGTGATTCCAAAAATGTGTATGTTACAGTCTCAGTTTCACCCATTCCCCTCTGATTGGCCATCCTCCCTTCCAACACTCAGAGATTCCCCCCACCCTGTCAACTCTTACTTATTATCTGGCTCTGTCCTGCTAAACTGTTCCAAGAGCCAGAGTCCATCCATCCATGAGATCTGTCCTCAGAAACCCCCTTGCTGCCATACCACCAGTCACGTAGAAAAGCAGTAAGGGCCAAATACAACTTCAGTTTGTACGCACAGCTCCCACCGACATCCCTGGACATTCTGCTACAGCACGAGGGAAGCACATAGACCATAGACTTTGGGGCTTTCACATAATCCTTGCAGATTTCTTTCTTGTAAATGTCCTACTCCCGAAAGGCCAACAGGAATTTCACCATTGGTTTCAGTGGGAGCAAGTTCAGACCTTAAAACCACAAGAAACTCTTTCAACTTAAATGGCCAAATTACCTCTTTCACATTTTTCATTCCAAACAGTTCGGCTTTTATTCTCTTGCAGACTTTCATGGCCTGATCTTGCTATGATTGAAGTGGATGGGAGTTTTGCCATTGACTTTAATGGCAGCAGGATTGGACCCTACACATAGATCATCTATACCACAGTCACAATCAAGTCAGAGAATCAAGTTACATCACAATTTCAATGTATAGGTTTGACAGTACCTTAACCAATATCTAAAGCCTTAGATTTGACTAGGCATATAATAATGACATTTTAAGGCAAGTAAATTACATTGTATGAAGTTATATACATGTCCTATCCTTCCATAGAGAGTACCCCAATCTCAAACACCAATATCCATTTTTACTGATTTTTTTTATTACATCCTGGAGAACAGCATGATAATGTTGATAATAACAATTCAAAATCTTGATACAAGTGCATTTGATGCTGGAGTCAGAAAGCCCTGTAATAAACCTTAGTAGGCAGGAGGGTATTTTGTGATGCATGTTCCTGGAAAACAACAACTGCCGTAGGAAGTCTTTCCATCCTTTTGCTTTCAGAGCAAAACAAAGTCACCATCTTTTGTTGAGAAGGTGCTTTTTGGCCCAAAGCTCAGCAGAAGGCCTGACAGAGTGAACAATTCCCCCGCTAGACACACACACACACACACACAGAGCCATCACCTGGTCAGATGCACATTGAAAAAAGCTCCAATCTTTAGTCATGCTTTAACATGTGCTAACTAAAGCCTCTTGACTAGCACAACTGTAAATTCTACTGTAGGCGGGACACAAACATTTCTTGCTTGTCATGTTGAACCCAAGGCTGCACGCTAGAGTTAAACACAACTAGGAACGAGCACCCCTGCCCTCTAACACTTGTGTAGTGTCTACACTAGAATTTACAGTTGACTTGAGTAACACGTGTTAAAACACATCTACAAATACCGGTGTAGACATACCTTAGGCCATATTTAAACTAGGATAATAGGTAGTATCTAAAAATTTGTTAGCCAATATGTATTAACTAACATATTTTAAACACTAGTGTAGACAACCCCCCAGAGATTAACCATGACCAGCTAACACGTTTTTAAATACGTTAAACCAGGCCTGTAAACAATTGCGACAAACAACTGTTGGATTCTTAAAATTAACCAGAATGCACAGGCTATACTGTATCCCAGAATTAACCAAAGGCCATGGGTGATAGCCTAGAACTAAGTAAATTCTTTGGATTCAAGCCTAGAACTAATTAAATGCAAATGGTTACTGCCTAGAACCGACCAAATCCCTTAACATCCCAGAACTAAAGCAAGTCGCGCATTATGCGCTACTAACCGCGCATTAGCGGGCTCTCCCGAGCGTGGCTGCCTTTGCTGGGCCACCGAGGCTTTGAAAAGCCCTGTGCCCCTGTGTGTGTGACCTGAGCTTCCCTGGCTGGGGGTGCCTTTGCTTTGCACAGTGCTCTCTTTGTGTACAGGGCGCGGGCAGCGTGGGAGGGCGGCATGCCCCGGCGATCCGCCCAGAGACCAGCAAAGATCCCCGCTGCAGCAGCAGGGCAAAGGCAGTGAAGGGTGAATAACCGCTTTTAAATGGGACTGTCACTTACTTATCCAGGACGAAGTAGAGATCGAAGGCCCCGTGACAGGACCGCTGGTCGTCTCGCCCTTCCTCCTCCGGCTCTGCTTGGGCGCAGGACGCCAGGCTCCAAGTGGCCAGCAGGAAGGCGCAGAGGAAAGCCGCTTTCTCCACGCAACTCCCACGACTCGCCATTTTCTTCCTCAATCTCTGCCCCCCTCCCCCGCCCCGCAGCCCTCGGAGTCTGTTCAGAAGCAAAGAAAAAGTTTCCGATCTCCTCTCAAACATGCGCAGAACCAGATCTCGGCTCCCCCACCCCACTGGTCCATGCAAGGGCAGAGTTGCTGCTGGGGGTGGGGGAGATTTCTGTGTGGAAGGGGGGCTTGGATCGGAGTCCGGATGGACGGTACCTAAAGCCCCATCCTCCCGCCCCTCGCTAACAGGCTGGGTTTAGTTGCTAGAGTAGCAACTCAGCCCCAATTTCCTGCGTGCCTCCTCCCATAGGGAGCGAACAGATTCGTAGGGAGGGGGAGACAGGATCTTATGGTGGGGAAGCTGAGCTGGGACTTTCCTGTTCCGGGCTCCAGAGCGGGGAAAGGAGAGCACGGCTGCAAACTAGCAAGAGATGCACCCCGCTTCCCCCCCCCAAACACACACACACCCGTCCCCCACACCCAAAACACCAGAGCTATGCCCAGGGTACAGCTCGGGTCTGCCCGCCCTCCCTCCCTGAGAGTCAGCTCTGGATTCGTTTGCTGACAAATCTGTTTTAAGTCTCTCACTCTAGTCTTCTTGCAGCCTCCCTGTTGCCGTTGGAGGCAGCTGGTTTTACAACCATGCTCTGTGTTTAGGGACCCTAAAGCAATTAGGACCGGTCACCGCTTTGCTATTTATTGAGTGTATTTCATGGGCACGGCCGGGGAGCAGTTCTGGAATCATGCAACAGGGTAAAGGGCTAGGAGGAAGAATTGTAGCGAAGCGATGTGTCTTGACCCCAGGCGAACGGATTGTAGCGATCTGTCTGGACCACATCACTGGGAACGAGTAGTGCAAAGGGGCTGTTGGCTTCACGGATGTTTATTCAGCTGCTGCCTTTTTGTTTAAAGAGGAATCGATTTAACCCACTCTCACAAGTGTCATGAAAACAGTTCGGGCTCCTACCGAGCTATCCATTGTTTTTAAAGCGCTGCTTTTAAAACAATCCAGATAGCCCTCAGATCTATTAGTCGCCCAAATGCCTCTGGTCAATAACAGTAAACTCGTCCGCTCCCTAGCTGCTCATTACCCTCTGTGCCTCGCGATTTCCAGTCGGGAAAAGAATTCCCAGGGAGGTGGATGAGGGCGAACATTTTACATCGGAGAGGCAGCCTTGCAATTCCCCAAACATAACGAATCGGTGCCTCTTTCCACCGCTGTTATCAATCCACCTTGCCCTTGTCACACGCCTTTTCGATCCGCGTGCAAAGGAAAATGCCCGGTTGCTGTAGTACAGGTTGCTGCTTTTCCCCACCTTTTTTACCCCACGATTAAATGTTTTCTTCTAATGATAAAAACGAACACAGAGAGAGAGACTTATGTATTGTGGGTGTCATATACGTGGGTACAGTGTAGGTACGGTTAAAATAAATCACTGAATTGAGGTTTTACACAACAGCAGATACTTGGACTTCCAACCTCCCATCACCACCACCACCACCCTCACCACCACACACACACAAAATCGCCCTTAAAGAACTGGCCAACGCCCGCATTCATCTGGATGCGGCATATGAAATCTGAATAATTAGCAGTTTCCAGCCGCCCATCTCCGAGCTGGGAACTAACTCTCTCCCCCCGCCCCCCATCGCCCACCAGTCACAGTTCCTGAGAAGGGACTGGGATTATATGACCTGATTAATGCCTAGAGCCACTGAGAGGGATGCGAGTAGAGTCACTTTGGATGAGAGAGTTGGAAACGGACGTTGCTCTTTCTTTGGGGGAAGGTTCATTGTCAGAGAATGAATCCACATCGATCATGGGGGTTAGAAGGCAAATTGCTCCAATTATATTGTCCCAAGGACTCCTAACCTGCCTCTCATCAAACCCCAAGAGAGATCGCTCCCCCTGCAGAGAAAAAGGTTCTTTCTGAGGACGGGGAGGGGGTCTGGTTGTTTCCTTGTTCTCAGTGACAAAGAGGAGCCTGGATCTGGAAAAAGGGGTAAACAGAGAGGTGGCAAAATTTGCAGATGATACAAAATTACTTAAGATAGTTAAGTCCCAAGCAGACTGGGAAGAATTCCAAAGGGATCTCACAAAACTGGGTAACTGGGCAACAAAATGGCAGATGAAAATCAATGTTAATAAATGCAAAGTAATGCATGTTGGAAAACATAATCCCAACTGTACATGTAAAGTGATGGGGTCTAAATTAGCTGTTACCACTCAAGAAAGATCTTGGAGTCATTGTGGATAGTTCTCTGAAAACATCCACACAATGTGCAGTGGCAGTCAAAAAACCTAACAGAATGTTGGGAGTCATTAGGAAAGGGACAGATAATAAGACAGAAAATATCACATTGCCTCTATATAAATTCATGGTACACCCATATCTTGAATACTGTATGCAGATTTGGCGGCCCCATCTCAAAAAATTCATATTGGAATTGGGAAAAATAGACTCATAGACTTTAAGGTCAGAAGGGACTGTTATGATCATCTAGTCTGACCTCCTGCACAACGCAGGCCACAGAATCTCACCCACCCACTCCTGTAACAAACCCTTAACCTATGTCTGAGTTACTGAAGTCCTCAAATTGCAGTTTAAAGACCTCAAGGTGCAGAGAATCCTCCAGCAAGTGACCTGTGCCCCACACTGCAGAGGAAGGCGAAAAACCTCCAGGGCCTCTGCCAATCTGCCCTGGAGGAAAATTCCTTCCCAACCCCAAATATGGCGATCGGTTAAACCCTGAGCATGTGAGCAAGACTCACCAGCCAGCACCCAGGAAAGAATTCTCTTTAGTATCTCAGATCCCACCCCATCTAACATCCCATCACAGACCACTGGACATATTTACCTGCTAATAATCAAAGATCAATTAATTGCCAAAATTAGGCTATCCCATCATACCCTCCATAAACTTATCAAGCTTAGTCTTGAAGCCAGATATGTCTTTTGCCCCCACGACTCCTCTTGGAAGGCTGTTCCAGAACTTCACTCCTCTCCCTCCCTGATATTTATCCCTCTGGTATATTTATAAAGAACAATCATATCTCCCCTCAGCCTTCTTTTGGTTAGGCTAAACAAGCCAAGCTCTTTGAGTCTCCTTTCATAAGACAGGTTTTCCATTCCTCAGATCATCCTAGTAGCCCTTCTCTGTACCTGTTCCAGTTTGAATTCATCCTTCTTAAACATGGGAGACCAGAACTGCACACAATATTCTAGATGAGGTCTCACCAGTGTCTTGTATAATGGTATTAACACCTCCTTATCTTTACTGGAAATACCTCACCTGATGCATCCCAAGACCACATTAACCTTTTTAATGGCCATATCACTTTGGCGGCTCATAGTCATCCTGTGATCAACCAATACTCCGAGGTCCTTCTCCTCCTCTGTTACTTCCAACTAATGTGTCCCCAATTTATAACCAAAATTCTTGTTATTAATCCCTAAATGCATGACCTTGCACTTTTCACTATTAAATTTCATCCTATTAGTAAAAAAACAGGAGTACTTGTGGCACCTTAGAGACTAACAAATTTATTAGAGCATAAGCTTTCGTGGGCTACAACCCACTTCTTCGGATGCATATAGAGTGAAACCGAAGAAGTGGGTTGTAGCCCACGAAAGCTTATGCTCTAATAAATTTGTTAGTCTCTAAGGTGCCACAAGTACTCCTGTTCTTTTTGCGGATACAGACTAACACGGCTGCTACTCTGAAACCTGTCATCCTATTACTATTACTCCAGTTTACAAGGTCATCCAGATCTTCCTGTATGATATCCCGGTCCTTCTCTGTATTAGCAATACCTCCCAGCTTTGTGTCATCTGCAAACTTTATTAGCACATTCCCACTTTTTGTGCAAGGTCAGTAATAAAAAGATTAAATAGGATTGGTCCCAAAACTGATCCCTGAGGAACTCCTTCCAGCCTGACAGTTCACCTTTCAATATGTCCTTTTGTAGTCTCCCCTTTAGCCAGTTCCTTATCCACCTTTCAATTTTCATATTGATCCCCATCTTTTCCAATTTAGCTAATAATTATAGAAAAAGGTAACAAAAATGATTAGGGGTATGGAACAGCTTCCATATGACGAGAGATTAAAAAGACTGGGACTTTTCAGCTTTGAAAAGAAACGACTAAGGGGGGATATGATAGTGGTCTATAAAATCATGACTGGTGTGGAGAAAGTAAAGAAGGAAGTGTTATTTACGCCGTCTCGTAACACAAGAACTAGGGGTCACCAAATGAAATGAATAGGCAGCAGGTTTAAAACAAACAAAAGGAAGTATTTCTCCACACAACACACAGTCAACCTGTGGAACTCCATGTTAGAGGATGTTGTGAAGGCCAAGACTATAACAGGGTTCAAAAAAGAACTAAATAAATCCATGGAGGATAGGTCCATCAATGGTTATTAGCAAGGATTGGGAGGGATGGTGTCCCTAGCCTCTGTTTGCCAGAAGCTGGGAATGGGCGATAGGAAATGAATCACTTGATGATTACCTGTTCTGTTCATTCCCTCTAGGGCACCTGGCATTGGCTACTGTCAGAAGACAGGATACTGGGCTAGATGGACCATTGGTCTGATCCAGTATGGCCGTTCTTAAGTTCCAAAGCAATCCTTTCACAGTGTCACATTAGCATCTCCTGTTCTGTCCTGGCACAACAGATAGCGCCAGAGGCAAAGTTTTGAGCTGAAGTGTGCATTGGGGTGGGAATTAAATCCCTCTCACTGTTATAGGCTGATCCCTTGATACTTGCCTCTTCAGTGCTGAAACTATCAGAAGGGCAGTTTGGTCCTCTCACCTCCAATCCTGCGGGATCCAAGCTAAAGATTCCTCTGATCTAGTGGGTTTTCAAACTTTTTTCATTTGCAGACCCCTACAAATTTTCAAATGGAGGTGTGAACCCCTTTGGAAATCTTAGACATAATCTGTGGACCCCCAGGGTCCACGTGGACCTCAGGTCAAAACCCACTGCTATAGGGAAGCTAGGCAGGGCATGTTCCCTCTGTGTTGTTGCTTGCCGTCTCAATGCCCGTCCTCGTGTGTGGTGGGGGGCAGATTTGCCATTGAAAATATGAACCTGGTGTATATCTATGGTGTGTGAATGTGTATGGATGTGTTGTGTTTCTTTGTGTACCTATGAGTGCTGCCTCTATGCACCATGGTGTGTATTTCTGTGTGAGGTGCATGGGTGCAAGAGAGTGTGTATGTTTGCGGCTGACTTTGCCTATGGATGGGAAGCAAAAGGTGTTTGGTG